CTTGTACCGGTTTCGCGGCAAAAAAATTGTAAGGGAGGGGCGCTATAGCGCAATATAGGTTCAGTGACGCCTCCTTTTCTCCAGTGACTCCGCCTCCAGACTCCGCCTTCAAGGCCCGCCTTTCAGTGAAAACGAAGCTGCAGGACGAAAAAGCATGAAAATCGTCACTTGTACGGTCGTAGAGTTCTTATCGGGGAGTCAGCTGTGCGGATGAGAGCGTAGTGCTGGAGATGGCGTTAATTGGGCACGTACACGTATGTACTATTTTATACGATTTCGAATAACAACTAAAGCACTATAGGAAATCTAAAGGAAATTTATTTGAAGCGAACGGTTCAAGCAATCTAGTGAGTACTATCGAAGTTGGTGTGGAAGAACATTAGAAGACGAAGCGCAACATCTGGTCGGGTACGAGAGCATTCCCAACGGAAAAAGCAATCTACACACGTTACACTCGCAGCCCTTAGCCAATATAGATGATTGTGGGGTAGAATATGACAATCCAGCTGAGAAAAAGAACAGTTCACGATGTTCCCAGGTAGATAAGGTTAAAATGGGGAGAGTTCTGATTTGATAGAGGCAATGCTCGGAAGATCAGGCGCAGTACGCCCTCTCAGCCATCACACTCTTCGTCAGTAAGCAAATAGGGGACAAAATGTATCTGACGAGCTTTTCCATGGAGTCTCCTGGCTTTAGGTAGATGACACACAACCCCAATAGGTCCAACAGCAGGTGCTGTAGTAGACATGAGACGGGTACTTGCCGCAAAATCCAGATTGTGGCGACGCTCAGCAACTAGCTATCATTCCCTAACTAACTGACTAGAATTACGCAGCCAAGGCACTTCCTGCACCACTGGAAAAAATTCTATGAAATACGACCCCCTCGCCCTCCTACCAAAATTTGCTTCTGTTATGGTCCCCCTCTCCATGCCCATGCTGCGCATTTTCCTGGTTTTAACAGGTCCCTCCTATCGAGCTCACATTACACACATTCCCAAGCACAAAACTTCCAATGACAAAACCTGGGGAAAGGAAATTAAATTTCAAGAACTTTATTACTTGATTGCTTAAAACTCTCATACTTTCTTAGGTCTCGAGAACTCGATCTTGAATATAACTCGCTCATTCAAAAAATTCCCAGTGGGATCATCATTTGAAAAGCTTACTTACCGATGGGTTTTTTATATAAACGGATTTGTTAGAAAAACAGCTGGCTCTGTGGGATCCATCTATAACATACCTTTCATCGAGCAGACGAATAAATACATCCATGGTGCCAATTCGAACCAGATATTGCTTGTGCTGAAAACCAGGCGACATCCGCTCGAGTACCGCCTGAACTATTGGTCAATTATTTCACCATTAGTCGCTGCTAACGGACTTGAAACCAGAATCTCTTCTCGTTCATCTAAGGAACGATGACCTATGAGAATGCAAAAGATTGTGTGGGAAGGGTAGAAAGGTGCGCAGCCAACAACCTTGAGCCTGTTTTGCGGCGGAACGTTGTAGGGTGAAGGAGTTAAGGGCAAAGTTGCTCCATTGGCACCTCCTTTTTCCAGTGACTCCGCCTTTAGAATACGCCTTCCAGCTAAAAGCGATGCGACCGAACAAGTAGCATGAAACGCATGTTCCTGTCTTTTAGATAGGGACCTGCGTTCATACTTTGCGGCAGCGTACGCTAGCGTTTCCAGCGTTCGCCAGCGGCAGTGGCAAGGAAAGGATAGATATCGATCTAGCGTCACCAGCGTACGCTAGCGTAGCGAGGGCAAGGAAAGCATAGGTATCGATCTAGCGTTTTCAGCGTTTCACCAGCGTTTCACTAGCGTTTGCAGCGGCGGGGACTAGAGACTATGGGAGAGAAGGAGAGTAGAAAACAGTTCGATTGCGCGTGCTGTGGAATTGCGGCGTGTGTCGCACCGCAGTACTAATACCGTACACTGAATTGGTTAAATTGCATAATTATGTGGTTTAGCTGTTGGAACGGAATGTTTTCTTCCTTTCATTGTGGCACCGGAATTGAATTGAACTATGAAAACGCTGGCTTTTGCAGGTGCCATCTCCTATTTTAGGGCTGATTTTGTTGGTGACTGTTCTATTTTTTTTGCGCGCGGGGAACTATATAGTATTCATTATGGAAGGTTGCTTGTCGGCTATTATGCTGACAAATTCAATGCCTCACTCTTATTGAAGATCCTTATATGTCCCACGGCATCTAATTTGATGGCATCGTTAATGATCTGGTTTATGCTTTGCATTTATGCGTTATGCAATTCAACCATTGCATAACGCATATTGCATAATGCAATTTAACCAATTCAGTGTGCGGTATTATTACCAGGGCACATCGTTGTTGGGGAATCCCCAATAGGGAGGGGGGGTCGTATTTGGTCGCCAGGAGGGGGGTCGTATTTGGGCTGAGAAAAATTTATTTTGATAGTTGATTTTTCTCGCTTCATGGACGTTGTAAAGGGAGGGGGGGGTCGTATTTGATATTTTTGGGAGGTGGGAGTGTCCGTTATCTTTACGTTTGTCGTTTGATGGCAGATGCGCGCGGCTTGACTTTTGGTGATTTTCCTGTTTCACGTACTATATGCCCCCCCCCCCGCTCGACGGCTCGATTCGATGAGGAAGGACAGAGGGCTGGGGGGGGGGTCGTATAGAGTCGACTAAAATCCCCAACCAATGATGTACCCTGGTTTACTTACTGCGCTTGCGCTCCACCCGCCGCAACTTTCACACCCACGCGCCAATCGACAACTGCTTTCGACACTTTAACATTCACGCGAATTGAAGGGGTCGCAATCCAGCGTGCTTCGCACCTTGCCGGCGTTTCCCATCATGGGGTTGCTCCCTCCCTAAAATTCGATCGAATTACCCAATCGCCATTGGTTAGCGGCAACGAGGCGAACGCCATTTGGTAGCCGCGTTGCACGACCCACGAATTACTCTCCTACGCTCCCTATTCTCTAGTCCTCGCCGCTGCAAACGCCCATGAAACGCTTGAAACGCCTAGATCGGATACCTATGCTTTCTTGTGCTCGTCACGCTAACATACCCTCGAATACACTAGCGTTACGCGAGCGTACGCTCTTGGCGCTAGATCAATATCTACCCTTTATTTGTCACTGCCGCTGTGGCGAACGAAGGAAAACGCTAGCGGTTAGGATGCGGTCCACGGCCGCAAGCATATGGAACGCAGCCTTTAAACCGCCGGTCTATTCGACTACTCTACGACTACTAAGCCAATTTCCGAAATATTAGGCCAGATTCCAGATTGTCAAGTTCCCTTTCTTAACATGTTTGGCTAAGTCTGTACCAACTTTGGCCCAAGATTTAGCCCAAGGGGTAGACCTGTTACAATTTTGGCCAAACCACCTAGTTGTCCCTCTGAACAGAACGTTATCTTGGACGGAAATGCCAGGTGCACGACGCCTGTGGCGTGGGCGTGGGGCGCGATGATTATGCAACGTTGTGAGCAAATGTATTCATGGAATGTCTTGGTAGAAAAGTTGAGCAGAAGTGTACTACCCAGGGGGGGGGACAAGTTTTTAGCTCACTTTGTAAAACGGAGTGTTTTGGTGCCGGAGAAAGCGGTGCAAACTCCGAAGCATTCTCATTTCTAACCTCTCATTCAGAGGATCTAGTGGGGATATGCCCATAAACGAAATTCAGTTCACATACGGGGAGAAAGTAACATCAAAATCTGGCCTGAAGATCGGAAAATGAGGCAGCAGCGGGCAAATAATGTCGAAACCTTTCTTTTACGTAAAATGCGACAGCGCTGTTGAATTCTATTGGAGATGGAGATGGGTCAATTCCAGCCGTGATAGTAGGCTTTGTAGTTGTTCTTGCACCTGTTGTGTTACTCTTTGAAGAAAATTCATTTAGGGACTAAATACGCAGTCAAAAACGTTTAGACTTCGAATGAGAGTGCGATTCATGGCGTATCCTAGAGAAGTCGACTGTCACCAAGCACCTGACCCTTTCATACCCTCATATCACTATTTCTCACGTAGAAAACGTGCTAGACAGGATTTTGGTAGGTTTTTGGAATGATTTTGTGGTCAGTGCAATGCCGAAAGTGTCAAGAGTAATTTCGTCAACTGTCACTATAAAAAGGCACGGTGGATGAATCAACGAGGAAAGTGCCAATTAGAGAGAATGACAGTGTAAATACCGACCGCTACCAATGCTTATACACGAACTGCAACTTTTCTTTGGGAGTAGAGCCAATTTTTCTCGAACAGTCCATATCTGAGAGAAATGCGGGGGGGGGTCCCGGTAACGTTTGTGTATTCCGGTACCGGATCACTCTGCTTTACTTTCGTCTGAACCCTCGCAGCCGTTGCATCTGCTCCCACACTGCCCTCAGATATGCACTGTAAGTTCCTATAACTGCAGAAAAAAAGCTTGAAAAAGTAGAAGAACACCTCACATCATGACTGCTGTGTGTGACATTCGCGAGATCAACAAGAAGTTGCCCTGCAGCTTCACGCACTTGAGGTTTGCTATCTCCTAGCCTGAAAATCCATCGAATTGTTGAGCCGAACTTTTACGCATTATCCAATTTTGGAAGACTGTAGCGATTCCAGTTATTGTAACAGTCACGCCGTGGACTCTACTGGTTTCCACTTCTTACTATGCTACTGACTTTTGACCTACCAGGGCTATGAAAGTATAGGTATCAATCTAGCGTCTGCCGGCGTCCACGTCTACCATCTAGCCTGCCAGCAGCAGAATGCTGGTAGAGAGTATGGTGAGGGAGGGTACCAATTGTCTGCTACCCTGATAGACGCTGGCAGACGCTGGTAGAAGCTGGTGGATGCTGGCAGACGCTAGACCGATACCTCTGAGAATCGCGTCAGGCAGAATCGGCTGTTTGTTTTCCCACGACTGGGTCACATGTCGTGCAGACTCCTGGAGACTATCTCTGTGATACTGGTAGAGACCAGCTGTTCAGTTATCACCATGAATGATGATTTATTTTTCACGATTCTCCTCCCTGTTCCGTCACCACGTTACCCACCGCCAACGGCAACGTCATATCCGTAGGCGTCCTTTCTCGTCCTTTTCAAGCCCCCAGCCTCTCTAAAATAATCCGCTTCACAGTAAGTAACGGAGGTTATATGGCCGCCAAAAGTGGCAATTCTCGCCTCCCTAGTTGCCCCGCCTACTGAAACTAAAGGACAGCTTCTGTCCCCAGTTCGTTTCCACCCTTGTTTTTCTTTTTACTTACTACAGTACTCGCCGTAATTGTTCAAAAAAATTACGAAAAAAACGCTAATCGGTTTTTTTCGTTTTTTCTTTATAGAGCTGTTCCTGTTGACTTTTTTATGGATACCCATATATGGTTAGAATCAGCTCGCCGAGCTGTATCCGAGGGTATGCTCATATTCTACGACACTTGGGTTTTGGCCGGCGCCATTTGGCGCCACCTCAGCGCCACAACTTTTCTCACAACATCTGTATAAACTTGCTTACTGGGATTATTCGGTGCCCTGTTCACGAAAGTGGCATTCATCTAGCCGTGGCTCCATTTGGCTCCATTAGGTGCCAATTTGATACCAATGACCCCCAGTTTGGCGACACGACCTTTCCCAAATCTGTGTAAACTTGCACAATAAAGTTTTTCGGTGCCCTGATCACGGAAGTGACATTCGTTTTCAGCCATGGCGCCATTTGGCGCTATTTTATGCCAATTTGGCGCTACCCCACTTTTCATCAAGATTGATAAAAAACTTGCATGGGGTGGTGTGGTTCGATGCCCTAATCACGAATCGCCAGCCTTAGCAGAGTGATCGTAGAGTTCATTAGCCCCGACGCAGGAAAAAATGGACGTCATATCCATAATTGGGATGTCAAGCGACCCGGTACACAAGGGCTCAACAATTTTGGTGATCCAGGGTTTGGCACCAGCGCCCATGGCACGGGCGCCAAACAGTTAGGACCAAGCGGTTATGACACTAGAGTTCAGGAAATTAGCCGGCGCCTGTGGCACAAGCGCCAAGCGGATGTAATATTTGGGTCTATGGATTACGCTATGGCCATGGCTAGGAATGAATGTTACTTTCGTGATGAGGGCACCGAGGCCCATTATGCAAGTTTATACAGATTTTTTGGGAAAGGTCGTGTCGCCGAACTGGCGCTCAGTGGCGCCAAATTGGCACCTAATGGCGCCAAATGGCGCCACGGCTAGAAATGAATGCCACTTTCGTGAACAGGGCACTGAATAGCCCCAGTAAGCAAGTTTATACAGATGTTGTTGAGAAAAGTTGTGGCGCCAAGTGGCGCCGGCCAAACCCAATAGAATATGAGCATACCCTCGGATACAGCTCGGCGAGCTGATTCTAATCATATATGGGTATCCATACAAAAAAGTCAACAGGAACAGCTCTATAACGAAAAAAAAACGCGGATCGGCGTTTTTTTCGTAATTTTTTGAACACTTACGGCGAGTGCTGTATTAGATAGTACTACCATGGATGAAGCGAAGAAAAGATTAGTGAGTCAGAAGCGGCAGGCTGTCGTGTTTGCTGGGATAAAACGAGGAGCTCAGAAGTTGTCTAGAGAAGCTGACAGTCCTTACTTAGAGTGTCCTCTATGATTTTTTTTTGCTTTTTTCTTCCCCTAAGAATCCTTTAACAACCATAGGTTTGTTACCGAACGCCTTCCACAGTATACAATCGCGGGGTTTGTCCATAAAAGTACGATCAACCCGCAGGTCAACTTGGCGGATACTGAATGGACCGTGATCAAGATGATCATTCGGAGTGTCTGTAGTATCCAGTCAATGAAACCTTTAGGTGTTCAAGCGAGGTGTCTTTTTTTTGTGAGCCCTCCCTGTACGAGGAAAAATCGACACGAAATGAGTTCCATAAACCTCAGCATTCCAAAAAAGCCTGAACTGCTTATATGTAGACGGACTTCAAACTATAGTTTGAAGTGCTCAGGGTTTCCGTGGAAAGATGTCCACTTACAGGTTTTCTTTCAAAAGCTATTTTTAGAATCCTGCAAAAAGTAACCATTTGGGACTGGAAGATGGTTTACGTTAACTACTCATGCTATTCCCAAAGGCATTTTTCAAACTCAACTTGAGAAGCCAGTAACCATTACAACTGCGGCCATTGCAAGACAGAGCGCGCCCTGCCGTTGGGGAGAATTGTTGCAAAATATGTACGACCCCTAACAGGGCTTCCTAGTCCGGTGCAACTCTCACCTCGCCACTCCTACCACCATCCATTCCATCTACCATCTACAAGGGAAGGACTTGGGTAGGTCGAAGTGGCCATTTGAAATGAAATGTATACCGGCTGAAAGGTCTTCGGACGGGAATTACGAAACCGTGTTCCATATCTGCTGCGGACCTCCCAGAAAGAAGTTACGGAGCTTTTTTGGGGGAGAATCACTACAAATTGGCGGCGTAAGGCTTATGCCAAATCGTGGCCAGCACGGGCCGCGTGAGATACGTTTGCAGGGCTCACGGGTGCGTGGTCGAGGGTTTGAATCCTTGATGCGTGTGCTTTTTTGCATCGTTTGGCCCCTGTGCACTTCAAAGCTAATTTGCATAACACTTGTCCCTGATAATGTCGCGACGTAATGATTCTGAACTGATGGAGCCATTGCGAACGATTTCATGGAGATCACCTCCAGCTGAAAAGATTGTCATACGAGCCGAAAACCTCCAGCAGGTACGAAAACACTTTGAGATAGGCATAATTCAACATTATGTGAGTGGTGAATGAAGCTCTTGCCCATCGCGATCTCCAGCAGCATGATTGTCACATCAACGCCACTTCATATGGAAGCATTTTCCCCGTTATACTCATCTTCGTGCACAGCGTCGTGCGTTCGGATTCGTTTCTCCAGTCATGTATTGAGAATAAAGTCATTTGAAAGCAAAATCTTCTTTTGGAATGCACTTTTGTTGTGTATGCTTTTCAAATCAAAGAGTGAAGAAGACAACAGCCAGAAAGTGGGCACTATTGAACTAACCCTCCCTACCCCAAAAAACTCAAAAAAAATTTTTCGCTGAAACGTTGCCTATAGATGTAATTCAATGCAGCTGATACGAATTAAATCACTTTTCAACCCGCTGGCGTCATTTGGCGCCATTATGCGCCAGTTTGGCGCGCACCACTTTTTCCACCAAAGTTGATGAAAACTTGCTTATGGGGGTCAATTGAGGTCCTGATTACGAATATCACACTGGTTTCAAGCGCTGGCGCCATTATGCGCCAATATAGCGCTGAATTGGCGCGTAGTGGCACCAAATGGCGCTAGCGCCAAAAATAAATGCTGGATTCGTAATCAGGAACTCAATTAACCCCCATATGCAAGTTTTCGTCGACTTTGGTGAAAAAAGAGGTGGGCGCCAAATGACGCTACGCCATCTTGCCAGCGACACTGGTGGGCGCGTTGAAACGGATGTTTTATTCGCGATCAGCGTGTTGAATTACATCTCTAGGCAACGTTTCAGCGAAAAAAATTTTTCGAGTTTCTGGGGCAGGAATAGTTTTCTTGATGCAGAATGGTGAACCTCTGTGGATGGTTTGCAGTGGTCCGTGCAGGTGCAGAATCTATTTACGTCACGAATTATCACGGAGAAGATTTATGCAAAATAGTTTTGAAGGCACAGGAACAACTTGTCAAAGAAAATGAAAAAGAGCAGCGCATTCAAGGAATTTCAAACCATCCACCGCGCACGAGGGCCCTACGGATCGTACCACTAGGGCCATGCTGCCACGATCTCGATAGCCTTACGCCGCCAATTTGTAGTGATTCTCCCCCAAAAAAGCTCGTAACTTCTTTCTGGGAGGTCCGCAGCAGATATGGAAGACGGTTTCGTAATTGTTAACGTCCGAAAGTGACCTTTCAGGCCGGGTTATACATTTCATTTCAAAAATGGCCACGTTCGGACTACCATCCTGTCCTGTAAATGTTTTCCAAATTCCAACCAATTATCCGCGAGCCTCTTTCCTAAAATCCTGGCACTTTTACAAGGAACAACTGCGTGAGCGAGGGTGGGGGAGGGGTACATAGTTTAGCGAATTAGAAAATCAAGAATAATCGCAACACTGTAGAATGAGGCTAGGTGCCATTCTGTACTGAAGCGGCCCAGGAAATCAGGGCACGTCATGCAGCCATGGGGGAAAAGTTCCATGATTTGCGAGTCCCCTGATTCCCTCCCCTGATACGCCCCATTCTCATCACCCATCTCTCCGGTTTTCCCAAAGTTCCCACCATTGTTTCCGGAATTTCCGAAAATGTCTGTTTCGTTTTCGCAAAATTTTTCTGTCGAGCCAGGGTACAATCATTTAGTTGGGGATTTTAGGTCGAACCGTACGACCCCCCCCTTTTTTTGGGAGGGGTGGTTGGGTACGGATCCTCCTAGAAAGGCAGATACGACCCCCCCCCCTTTTTTTTAATAACGTCCTTGAAGCGACAAAAATCAACCATCAAATAAATTTTTCTCAGCCCCAAATACGACCCCTTCCCTCTCCTGGCGGCCAATATACGATCCCCTCCCCCCCCTGTTGGGGATTCCCCAACAACGATGTGCCCTGTGTCGTGAGGGGGAGCGGAGCTATATAGCACATATGAAACAGGAAAAACCACAAACAGTCAACAACCTCTCTCAGAGAGCCAGAGGACAAATACCCCCCCCCCCCCCCCCCTTTGTAGCGTCCCTGAAACCAAAAAACCAACTATCAAAAAACATCTCTCAAGCCAAATACGACCCCTCCATGGGGATTCTCCAGCGTACGACGTGATCTGAAGGGAATAAAGCCCGTAGGGACCTTCATCTTTGGAATTAGCCAATCAAAATCTTAAAAGGGACACCTAGCCAGAGTGCCCTTCTACGTTGACTCCATGAAAAATGCAACCCTATGACATTGGTCTTCAGAATTTCAGTCAACTCTTTTCCCGATCAACGCTCGTCGCGCCATTTGCAGCTGTTTTATTGGCTATTCCCTTTAACGACCTTCTCTAGTACCCTGCAAATTGACGAGCCTTTGAAGTGTGAAATAGGATCCTACCCAATATGGCGCCTAGCCTGCATACCTGATTTCATGTGCATTCCTTCTCATTTGTATAGGGCGACTTCCCTCCTT